ACCTCCCTTCTTCAGATGCAAGTAATGGAAATTTCCATTACTTGCATCTGAAGAAGGGAGGTTCTTACCCAGGAAAGCTTATGCTCCCAATACTTCTGTTAGTCTTAAAGGTGCCACAGGACCCTCTGTTGCTTTTTACAGATTCAGACTAACACGGCTACCCCTCTGATACCTTTCAAATTAACATATCTTACATGCTGTATTATACCACTAAGTAAAGATAAATGGTATTCCCAATGTTTGCTCCTTTTCGGTGACCTAACAGATATCCCGAGCGGTTTTGTTTTCTACATGTTAATGCAGAATTAGATGTTCATCTTCACAGAGTGATACAGACAGGGAAGGATACTAAGAGGGCGTTAAATCCGAGAAATGAAAAACTATCTCAGTGTATGATGGACTATAGAATCCTCATGTAGAGGTGACCATATTCGGTCCTTTTCTCATCATTCCTCTTTAGCTACCATAACTTTTATGCTGGAGGAAATGCGTTTTTTTAATTGACTTAGATATGTCCTAATCAATTAGTTTAAACAAACTTTGCAAATTCATAGATCACGATTCTTCAGAAGTCATAATAAATTAGTTGGTTGATGACAAATGATTAAATTTAACACCGCGTTCTGTTACACGCTTTGATTTTAAATGGTATTGATGTTCCCTAATGATTAAGAACGTTAACTCATTGTGAAATTGAATGGAAAAATGACTCATTTAATAATTATTTGAATAAGTATCTCCTTAAATGTCCGAAAAGTCTCATTAGAAGACGATATTAGAAGAATTGGAATATATTTACAGCATGCCATAAATTCCAGGCAGGTAAATTATGGCTGGAAAATTTAACTCATTGATGCACAGTCACATCGCAGTCAAAATCAAAACCCTGCCAAAACACAAACACGCAATTCTCCCCATGGAAAGATGATAAGAAAGAGGTGACAGATACTTAATGCACTATTGGAAGTTGGTCTGATACTGCACAGATAAGGGAAAGATACGAATCTATATAGCATAGAATAGAACAAACAATTTTTGCTTCTACAAATCTGCCACTAAACAGCAGGTGCCGACAATCCTTTGGTACTAAAACTTGGAGCACCTGATAACAACAATTGCACACAAGGGAAAAAAAGAATTACTCTGAAAAGATCGCAATATAAACGACTCTATAAATTTCATAAATATCACACGACAATGTGCTCACTTAAAAATCAAAGTGTAGACTTCACCTCGAATATGTCAGTGAAAAAATTCACCGGTGGAAGCCTTCGGGTGTCAAATGTTGAGCCCTCTAAACTAAAATTACTGCGTAAAATTAAAATCGCAGCGTTGTCATTACAAAAGATATTCTCGCCTGTATTACTCTGCCCATTAGTTATCAGAAAGTTTAATTCATTCTTCCCAGCGTCCTTAGCACAACACAGTTTATAAGAATATGGCAAAGTCCCATCATCGCAGTTTGGTAGAAATCGGGGATCTGCCATGATGGAATAAAGATTAGAACTGATTTATTGAAGAACAGGGGAATTCTTTGATCTTCGGAATTTCATGATTAAAGCCACTGAAACTGTTACTAGGGGGTGAAAGCAGATTAGCGCTACAGCCAGGACCCAGTAAATTAAATAACGCATTAATGCAAAAACTCACCTTGAGAAGAGTTTCGGACGCGGATTTGGGTGCTTCAGAACCAGAATTATTCACAACTAAAATCCCAGAGTTGTCATTGCAAAGGATATTCTCAGCTGTAATGTTCTGGTCGCTACTTTTAAGCAAGTTAAATCCATTTTGCCCACAGTCTGTAGCCAAACACAAATTATAGGAATACGGCAAGGTCCCGTTTTCGTAATCTGGTAGGAATCTGGGATCAGCCTTGGAATAAAGCGCAGGCCTGACATACTGAATAGAGGAGCTTTTTGAACTTCTAACTTTCATGGCTATCACCACTATAATTGTAATTAGAAATAAAAATGAGATGAAGGCTAAAGCCAACACCAAGTAAAACTGTAAATCAGACTGAGGTGCCGAGTCACCCGATTGGTCACTCATTTCCGGAAGAGCCTCTTGGAAGTTCTCAGCAAACACCAGGTTGAGAGTCACTGTGGCGGAGAGAGGCGGCTGCCCGTTATCCTTCACCCGGGTGACCAGCCTGTGCTTCACAGCATCTCTGTCCGCAAAGGCGCGGGCTGTCCGGATCTCCCCGGTATGCAGCCCCATGCTGAAGAGCGTCGGTTCCGTGGCCTGGAGCAGATGGTAGGAGAGCCAGGCATTGTGTCCTGAGTCAACATCCACCGCCACCACCTTAGTCACCAGATAACCTGCCTCGGCCGAGCGAGGGATCATCTCGAACAAGGCGGAGCCATCGGCTCCGAGGGAAGGGTACAGGATGCGAGGGGCGTTATCATTCTGATCCAGAATAAACACCCTGGCGGTGACATTGCTGCTGAGAGGCCGGGACCCGCCGTCTTGGGCCTTCACTTGCACTTCAAACTCCCGGAATTGCTCGTAGTCGAAGGAGCGCTGGGCATAGATAGCTCCGGTCTGGGAGTTAATGGAGATGTAGGAGGAGAGAGGCAGCTCCTGGAGGTTGCTGCTCAGGATGGAGTAAGTGAGTCGGGCGTTCCGGTCCAGATCCCGGTCTGAGGCTGCTACACTGAAAATAGAGCCCCCCGAGGGATTGTTCTCTGGCACATAGGCGGTGTAGGAAGGTTTTTGAAAGACAGGGGCGTTGTCATTGATATCCGAGATCTGCAACAGGATGGTTTTCTGGGTGGAGAGAGGGGGAGAGCCTTTGTCTGTGGCTGTGATTGTGATATTGTACTCCGAAGTTCTCTCCCTGTCCAGGGTGCTGTCTGTGAGGAGCTTGTAGTAGTTAATAGAAGATGATATTATTTTAAAAGGCAAGTTGTGTTGAATACTACAACTAAGTTCTCCATTTTGTCCGGCATCTGGATCAAGAGCTTTGATCAGAACTATCACTGTTCCTGGCGGTGAGTCTTCGGGAAAAGGACTGGATACTGATAAAATCGTCACTTCCGGGGCGTTGTCGTTCTCATCCAGTACTTCTATATGAACTTTGCAGTGATCGGTCAGCCCACCCCCATCCCTGGCTTCCAATTCCATGATGTATTCATTTTTCTCTTCAAAATCCAGGATCGCTGTATTTGTAATTTCTCCATTCTCAGGGTCTAAATGGAATAATTTGCGGGTGATTTCCGGTATGCTGTCGAAAAAGTATGATATATGGCCATTTAAACCTTCGTCTTTGTCACTGGCTTTCACTTGAAACACTAAGGAGCCCTTTGGTAGATTTTCCCTCAGGCTGACTTTGTAGATCTGTTCAGTGAATACAGGGGGGTTGTCATTGGCATCAGTAATTTTAATCCTAACTTTAGCTGTCCCAGATCTGACTGGATCTCCCCCATCCAGAGCTGTCAGGATTAACTGGTGGGAACTTTCCTCCTCCCGATCCAAAGACTTTTCTAAGACTAATTCTGCTTGCTTTTTGCCATCTGGGCTCTCTTTCACTGCCAGGGTAAAGGAGGGGTTTTTATTGAGTTGGTAATTCTGCAGTGAGTTGATCCCAGAATCCGGATCTTGCGCAGATTCTAGTCGAAATCTCGCACCCGGCAGTGCTGATTCGCTGATTTCTAGATCAATGTCACTCTTTATGAACCACGGGGCATTATCATTAATGTCCTGGATTGCGACATTCACGAGGTAAATATTTAAAGGATTTTTAACCACCGTTTCGAATGCCAGGACACAAAGGGGTGTCTCCCCGCATATCTCCTCCCGGTCTATCCTGTCATTTACATACAGGTTGCCATTTTCCCCATTCACACTGAAGTATTGCTTTTCCGAACTGACACGGAGCTTCCGCTGCGGCAGTTCTCTGACATCCAACCCCAAATCCTTAGCGAGATTCCCCACAAGGGAACCTTTGGACATTTCCTCAGGAATCGAATAACGAATCTGCTCCGAGACCGCCCGGCAGAACAAAGAGAATAAGAAAGGAAACAACCGTACCTGCCGTGTGACTGCCCATCCGGTCTGTATGTGTCCGGTTTCCATCTCACTCGCTTGCACTTATGCTCTTTTCGTTTCTCTTTTATTCAGTTTAGATCCTGTAGTTAAAATCCAGCCTGTATTGTAAATATTCCCAGCGATGAAAATAAAATAAAATAAAATCCCTTTATTACTCCAGTTGTGCATCCGAGTCCAGATAGAAGGTTTCTCTGAGCATCGAGGCTGTGTGCGCTTTTGTCTCCGCTCTGCGCTATGTGATTGAGCAATCACACTGCAGCCGGCTCCAATGGATCTCCGGCTGCAGCTCCGCGCCTTATTGGCCAACAGCGGCACTCTGAGTCTCTGCCGGAGAACTGCAGCTCGAATGATATGATAAAAGCCAGGACGTAGGTACAGAGAGGGCAATGGAAATTCGTTTGGATCAATGCATTCCCTCGTCCATCCTTAGGTAGAAAAATATATAACGCACACACAAAAAGAATTTAGGAAAGCTGAATGGTATGGGTTTCCATTTTGTCTGCTTTTTGTGTAGTTTGTATGTTCTGTCACCAAAGTGGCTTGATTTTAACAAAAAGCGCAATGAAATTGTTATTATTACAAAATTTCGCTATCCAGAATCAGGGCCCTGGCACAACACAATTATTTCTCTTCAGAACTTCCTTCAAAAATAAAATATCTTTTCAGTCATCTTTCCGTGTAAACGGCCTAATTCTGGTCTGGTGGATTTCGTGGGATTTATGGTACTTTGATGTAAAGAGAGCACAGGATTGTCAAGATCTAATAACACCTATCTGAAACTAAACAAGTAAACATAATATATACGTAACTGAGGAGATTGAAGCTTCATTCAAAAAGGTTTCTCGGAGTTGTTATAAGACCCTCTGTAAACTGATCCGTCCTTCCAACAAACAACTGTAGTTCCCTTTAAAAATACTGTATATGTTACGCTACACTGTTTGAATTGTAGTAACGTCGAAAAGCCCCAATGAAGATCGAGATCTAATTGTGTGTAAACAAAAAAGTACACATCACGCTTGCCTGGAAGATTTGCTATGTTACTTGAACCTGAGTCATGAATTAAGGCTCAACAAACAAACAAACAACAACAAAAAACCTACCCTAATGAAGAGGGAAAGGAAGTAGAGGGTCATAAGGAAAGTGGGATCACTCTAATACAAGGTAATAATGCGTGATGGGTCAAAAAAGACGATGGGTTTTACAATAAATAAATAAATAATATTTCCGGCTCTTAAAACACATCAACCTGGTTAAAAAGAAAAATAAGAAAAGAAGCAAACTCACTTGAACAAATTTCTTCTCGCCATCGCCATTCTTTAAATCTCCCGATATTGACACAGAATCATTTATCTCACAGGTCTGCTGACTGGTCAGAGTATTTGAATAGTTTGATTTGGGAAAGTTGAATTGGCTCTTTCTGGAGTCCGTGGTTAGAGAAACCTCATGTGAGTAGGAGTGAAGAAAAGCTCTGACTCCATCGAGCCCCACAAACTGCGAGACGGGAACTCCACTGAAAGTCACACTCGAGGAGTCAAACAGCTGCGAGTTTCTCCACCTGCGGAGCCTCAGGGCCAGTAACACTATGATAAAGATAAAGAACAAGCAGGAAACGGAAGCCACAGCGATCACCAAATACAAGGTGAGGCTGGACTGGGGATCTGCAGGCGCTGAGAGGCTGCTTAAATCGGAGAGGATGTCGGGGATGCTGTCAGCCACTACCACCGTGACAGTGGCCGTGGCAGAGAGAGGGGGCTGCCCGTTGTCCTTCACTAAAACCACCAGACTTTGCTTGAGCGCATCTTTGTCGAGAAAGTAGCGCGCTGTCCTGATCTCGCCGCTGTGGAGTCCCACAGAGAAGAGCCCCGGCTCTGTAGCCTTCAGCAGCTGGTAGGAGAGCCAGGCGTTCTGACCGGAGTCTGCATCCACCGCCACCACCTTAGTGACCAGGTAACCCGGCTCGGAGGAGCGAGGGGCCAACTCCAGTCCCGTGGAGCCATCGGTGGGAAAGGAGGGGTGTAAGATGTGCGGGCTGTTGTCATTCTGATCCAGTATAAAGAGAGTGACGGAGACATTACTGCTGAGAGGTGGGGAACCCCCATCCTGAGCCTGCACTTGGAACCGAATCTCCCGGAACTGTTCGTAATCGAAGGAGCGCAGAGCGTAGAGAGCCCCAGTCTCGGAATTAATGGAGATGTAGGAGGAGAGCGGAGATTCCTGGATCTGACCCTCGGTAACAGAGTAGGTGACTCGGGCGTTCTCCCCACAGTCAGGATCATTCGCTTTCGGGAAAGAAACGGAAGTTCCTCTGGGATTGTTCTCTATGATGTACAAAGTGTAGGATGTCTGGTTGAAAATAGGAGCGTTGTCGTTTATGTCTGAAAGATGTACTAAAATAGTTGTTGTTGATGATAAAGGAGGAGTCCCTCGGTCTGTGGCTGTGGTACTTATATTGTAATCGGAGACCCGCTCCCTGTCCAATGCTCTGTCACTCACCAAACTGTAATAATTGTCAAATGATTTCTGTAACCTGAATGGCAGGTTGGGTGGTATAGAACATATGACAACACCATTCTCTCCAGAATCCAGATCATGTAAATTTATAAAGGCGATTACAGTTCCCGGTGGGCTGTCTTCGCTCACAGAGTTGGTGAGTGAGGTGACTGTAATTTGAGGCTCATTATCATTAACATCAATCACAGTAACCAGGACTTTAGATCTGGCCGAGAGGTCTCCAACGTCTTTGGCTTGAATCTCCATTTCATATAATGCAGCTTCCTCATAGTCCAGGTTTCCCACAGTTGATATTTCTCCCGTTTTAGAATCCACCTGGAATATCTGAGACGCTTTGTCTTTCATCTTCCGGAGTGAATATGTGACCTCCGAATTTATCGCTTCGTCGGGATCTGTGGCGTTTACTGTCAGCAGCAGAGACCCGACGGGCACATTTTCCAAAACACTCACTTTATAGACAGGCTGACTGAAAACTGGTGCATTGTCATTTGCGTCAAGGACGATAACACGGATCTGCGCAGTGCCGGACCTGACTGGATCTCCCCCGTCAGTGGCTGTGAGGATTAGATCGTGAACAGCTTGTTCTTCCCGGTCTAGAGACTTTTCCAGCACCAGTTCGGCATATTTGTCCCCGTCAGCTCCCGTTTGCACATCCAGAGAGAAGTGTTTGTTACTGCTGAGATAATAGCCCTGCACAGAATTGGTTCCCACATCTGCATCCTGCGCCCCCTCAAGAGAATATCGGGTTCCCACAGCGGCTAACTCACTGATTCTAAATTCCAATTCATTTTCCTGGAAGCGGGGGGCATTGTCATTAATATCTGTGATTTCAACTTCAACTGGGAAAAGTTTAGCTTTATCCTTAACGAGAACCTCAAAATGTAACAGACATTTCTCCATTTGGCCACAGATCTGCTCTCTGTCAATCCTTTCTGTGGGGCATAAATAACCGCTTTTAACATTCAAAGCAAAATACTGAGTCCTACCTCTGGAAACAATGCGGACACCGCGGTCTGAAAACTCCTTTGTATCGAGCCCCAGATCCTGAACGATATTCCCCACGAAAGAGCCTTTCTGCATTTCCTCCGGAATGGAATAGCGAATGTGCCCAGAAACTGCCTCCCAAACGGTAAAAAATACAAAGCAGAACAGGACTCGACAGTTGCAGTCACGGAGCCTTTTTATATCCGTCATGTCTAGCACTGGAAATAGATGCCTTAGAGTCCGAGTGTCAGAACAGTATATAAAAACTAGTAAACATAAAAATCCCGCTCTTCAATCAGTAGTTCGTGGATCAAGAGCTTTCCCAGGGGGGTTAGTGCAGCTATGCTGTACTGTGTATTCTGGCTTTTACAAAGAGTGCCTGGTCTGCCTGTTGTGCGGTCTGTTACAGCGGGGCGGGGCTGGCTGGATCTCTCGCATTTGTCTCCCTGATTGGTGAACAGCGACGCTCAGAGTCTCAACCAATAACTGCAGCAGTTTAGATACATAATTTTAAACGCATTTTCCCCAATATATATGTGTTAGCTAATTTCTCCAGCATATTTAGTCTCCTAATGTATATTATATATTAATTAGGGCTGTCATTGATCACAATTAACTGAGGTGATTAACCCCCAAAATTAATCACGATTAATAGCAGTTTTAATTGCACTGTTAAACAATAGAATACAAATTGACATTTATTAAATATTTTGGAAGTTTTTCTACATTTTCATATATATTCTGTGTTGTAATTGAAATCAAAGTGTATATTATTTTTATTACAAATATTTGCACTGTAAAATGATAAACAAAAATAGTATTTTTAAATTCACCTCATACAAGTAGTGTTGTGCAATCTCTGTTGTGGAAGTGCAATTTACAAATGTAGATTTTTTGTTACATATCTGCACTCAAAACCAAAACAATGTAAAACTTCAGAGCCTACAAGTTCACTCAGTCCTACTTCTTGTTCAGCCAATGCCTAAGAGAAACAAGTTTGTTTACATTTATGGGAGATAATGCTGCCCGCTTCTTATTTACAATGTCACCTGAAAGTGAGAACAGGCAATGTTATTTGTTTTCGTATGCCCCATCATGCTTAGGCCACCATTCCAGAGGACATGCTTCCATGCTGATGACACTTGTTACAAAATGCATTATTTAAATTTGTGACTGAACTCCTTGGGGGAGAATTGTATGTCCCCTGCTCTGTTTTACCGGCATTCTGCCATATATTTAATATTATAGCAGTTTCAAATGATGATCCAGCATATGTTGTTCATTTTAAGAACACTTTCACTGCAGATTTCACAAAAGGCAAAGAAGGTACCAATGTGAGATTTCTAAAGATAGCTATGGCACTGGACCCAAGGTTTAAGAGTCTGAAGTGCCTTTCGAATTCTGAGAGGGGTGGGGTGTGGAGCATTCTTTCAGAAGTCTTAAAAGAGCAACACCCCAATGCAAAAAATACCCCAAACCAC